TATGCACATTTATTAGATATATTTAGAATTTTATTCAAGATATCACTCTAGAAGTAGAGTTGCTGTATCAGAACAAAGACTTTTAAAAGAAGACCTATAGAAAGCTATATTGCTTTTCTAAATAATCAAACCACTTTGTTCCTATTAGTAAGAGGAAAAGTTTTCCATTTCATCCAGCCTACGGTTCATGACAAGTTTGAGGCCAACCTAGGTTACATAGTGAGATCCTATCTTTAAAAACAAAAAGAAAAATCTATAAAGAAAGTTGGCCATGGTGATCCCACCATTTAGGAAGTAGAAATAGGAGATAAGACACTGAATGTTATCTTCACTATATAATGAGTTTGAGGCTATTCTGAGTACATGAGACTTTTTTTTTTAATTACCAATTTACCAAGCCCTCTGTGGTCTAATATAGAGGACTCTATGGCAGACAAAAAGTTCAACACATGATAGCTGGGAGGCAAAGAAAAATAGAGGAAGTAGGGCTAGAATCTAGTATCTCCTAAAGGACTTACTCAATGAACTAACTTCTTCAATCACTTCCCAAAGCGCTCAAGACAGGAACTATCAGGGGCCATGTAAGGTTCAAATAAGGTACCTGACATCTATTAAGCTTTATAATTTTTGTAGTTACTTACTTGGTAAATAAACAGTGGCACTGTTGGTTTTGGAGATGGAGTCTCATGCTAGCCTGGACTGGCCTTGAACTGGCTAAATTCCTGATTCTATCCCTTGAATGCTGGGATTAGAGGCATACACTATCATGCCTGGTTCAATAATGGTGTTTTGATATAACTTTATTGGGTCATCCTTTCACAAAGCTTAGCATATAGTAGATAAGAAACATGCCACTTTTGTTTATTTGTAGAATAAATAATTCATAAATTAAATGTGAATTTAAGGAATAATGTGTTAAAATAATTTATTTATTTTTATTTCATGTGCATTCATGTTTTGCCTGCAGGTAGGTCTGTGTGAGGATTTCAGATTCCCTGAAACTGGAGTTATAGGTAGTATGAGCTGCTATGTGGGTGCTGAGAATTGAACCTGGGTCCTCTGGAAGAACAGCTAGTGATCTTAACTGCTGATCATCTCTCCAGTCCCAAGAAATAATTTATATGTCTCAAAATTTGCACATTTATTAGATTTTAGTGTTCTACTATTAGTGTGCACTAAATGCTAATTGATTTTCTTTTCCTCTAGTATGAATTTCTCATTCTGCCTATCATTTGCTCATTGGATTTGTTTTCCTTTTGACACATTGAGGATTTAGTGATTTTTAAAAAATTACTGACTTTTTTCTATTGCCTAAATTTTAACAGTTTTAAGTTTCGTATCTTGCCCTGTCTTTTTCCCTTGACCCTTCTCAAATTATAGAAATTCACGCCAATTATTATGTTCTAATTTTTACTTTTAGTGCTTCATCATTCTATCTTCATTCTGGTGTGCTTTATATTCTGGCCTGCTTTTTTGAGTCTGTTCTGCCTCTTTCTATCCTGTTTTGTTGTTTTCTGTATCTACTCTGATACAAAGGATACACTATTTAATTATTACCATATAATAATATGTGTAAAGTTTACAAGTGTTATGTTTTTTCTATGTTTCAGTTATTTTTGTAGCCCTTCTATTCTTCATGCATCTCTAAATAGTCTGGTTTTGTTTTTAAGTTATCAGTGTCCATGTGTTCTTAATAGACTACTTTGGAAGACAGGTTCAGGCTCTTTTTCCAAACTGCTACTTTTAACATCTTTGATAAAAGTAGCATTAAGAAATTGTGTACATCTACAATACAACTTCTGCACCCAAGGCTCAGGGATTATTTCAGAAGAAGAGGCAGGAAAGGTTTTAAGAGTCAGAGGATTAGAGAATTTGCTGTGAGGCTGTGTCTCCTAGGAATTTCAGAAGCTACACCCATAAGTCTCACCAACATGACTGCCTAAACAAAATCTGAACATGGATAACAACAATAGACATGCTAAAATGAATGAAGGAAAGACCATGAAGCTTCAACCCTACACAAAAACTACAGATGACTAAAGAATGAGAGTGGAAGATATAGTCTACCAATTGGCTATCCAGTACCATGTGGTCAACTCTGAAAACACACACACAAGTAACATTGTAAACACTGAGCATATTGTATTTCTGTATTTAGGAGTGTGTGTGTGTGTGTGTGTGTGTGTGTGTGTGTGTGTGTGTGTGTGGGGAGGGGGGTTTGAGTTTGAAGGAAAGCAAGGAAGGTTATGTGGGAGGGTTTGGAGGGAGGAAATGGAAGGGGAAATGATTCAATTGTATTATAACAGAAAAATAAAAGAAATAATTTAAAAAGATATCTTTGTTTCAGTTGTCTACCAGAAAGAATTGTTATTTTATCAGTTGTTCCAAAATTAAATTGTGGTGATATGTTGTTCATGATTTAATAAAGCTTGCCTGGGGATCTGAATGTAAAGCTAGCCATACCATCTAGCCGTAGAAGCCAGGCAGTGGTGGTACACACCTTTAACCCCAGGACTCAGGAGACAGAAGCAGATCTCTGTGAGTTCAAGACCACCCTGGACTACACAAAATTGAACCAGTCTAAAAGAGTAACAGAGCTCCATTATTTGTCTCTGGCTTTTCTTACTTGTGCCATATTAAATTAATTGCTTTTCATAGATATTTTCTAAACAGAACATGGAAACCAATAATTTTTATAGCCAGATATCAAAAAAATCAATATGAGGATTCTTCAGTATTTTAAACATAGAGGGCTAACAATACCTAAATATTCCAGTCTTATTTTTTTTTTGTTGGCTTTGTTTTTTGGATCATACTATGTATTCCTGGCTGGCCTGGAGCTTGCTGTGTAGACAAGGCTGGCCTTAGACTCCCAGAGCCCCTTCTGCCTCTGCCTATGTTGAGGTTTTGACCTAGTAAATTGTCAGGGGAAAGTAGTAGGAAGTAAGACTTTTCTTAGTAAGCTTGTTTGTATAAATCTATTTCAGCCTGAATTCTGTCTCTGATGATAAGACTGTTCTCCTATATAGAAGGATAACACTTTTCTGGCCAGCTTTAGGTTGAAAGGGAAGGGCAGGAAGCCCTTCCTATATCTGTTGTTTCTCCGGTGCTTTCAGCTTAAAATAATCAGGATGTGAACATTGCATGTCCAGAACTCCTTCATAGGAGACCTGATTATCTTGTTTAACCTTTTAACATTTTACTTAATCTTTTACTTTTTAATTTTATGCCATTATTTAAATCATGGTTGGTTAACTTTGTGGTTTACATTATCCACCCTGTTTTTAAGAATGTTAAGGAGAGGAGGGAGAGGTGGGAGTAGAGGGGGAAAGAGAAAGAGAGAGAGAGAGATGCTAATTTCTAAGACACTTTAGGCAAGAGGATTATTAACCTCATACAGACACACACACACACACACACACACACACACACACACACACGCTCAGCTGTAACCTTAAAGTGAATAAGAGATCATTTATTCTGGAGCCATTTTGAGTGACCATGGCCTGGTAGATAAAGGTTGTAGCACAATAAAGAAAAGATTCAGGGACTAATATTAGGGTTCAAGCTGAAGTTCAGAAAAGCAAAGCAGCTGGCCACTAGCTCTTACTGTACCTCAGACCAAAATGATGATCCTGGTTCCTCCAAACCTCAGACTGCTCTCTCCTTAATGTGGCTGAAGACTCAATCTCAGAATGCCACCCTATCCTCAATGTGGCTGGAGAATGAATGCCAGCTCTGAGACCCTGTTCTTGTTTTAAATACCTCTCATGAGTCCTGAGATTAAAAGTGTGAGCTCTGTTAATCTTTTAGACCGATTCAATCTTGTGAAGCCCTGGGTAGCTTTGAACTCAGAGAGATCCATCTGCCTCTTAATCCTGGATCCTGGGATTAAAGGTGTGTACCACCACTGCCTAGCTTCTATAGCTAACTAGTGTGGCTAGCTTTGCTTCCTGAACCCTCAGGAAAGCTTTATTAAATCATAAATAATATATCACCTCAAAAGGTTACTCTAAATTTTATGTTGAGTAGGAGTGTCAGGAGACAAAGCCCAAAAGATAATAAATCAAAATATTTCAAAGACAAAGAAAACCAAAGTGAAGTTTGTGTGTGCATGTACACATGAATGAATTTCTTTAATTTTATTGTTTTGGGTTTTGAGAGAGGGTCTTATATAGCCCAAGCTGCCCATGAGCCCCTGATCCTTCTTCCTTTACACTCCAAGTTCTGAAAACCCTAATGTGCATTACAATACCAGGTCCCCCTTATTTATTTATTTATTTAAATATAAATCTTTACTTTAAAATATTAATTTGCTATTTTATGCGAATATTTTCTCTATATGTATTGTAAGTGCACCAAGTGCATGCCCGGTGACTGTGGAGATGGAAGAAGGCATGGATATGTTGAACTGGAGTTGTAGATGTTCGTAAGCTGTGGGTTCTGGGAATCCACTCCAAGTCCTCCGCAGAAACAGCAAGTGCTCTTAACCAGCGAGCCATCTCTCTAGCCCACTCTCTTAATTTTAACACATATGAGATCCCACTGTGTATACTAGTCTACAGCTTATTTTTACACTTAACAATACATTGTAACTGTATTTCCATCTTAATACATTAAAGTTCCCTCTGATTATATTTCTCATGATTTTAGATAGTTTTATAATTCAAAAGAGTAAAATAATTCATTTCAGTTTGACTCCAAATAGCAAAAATTTAGTCTATTTTCCATTCTCTGTGTGAATAAATATGAATTTGCATAGCTTTTTATTTATTTCTTTGAAAATATGTTTAAGAATGATTTTTACATGTCAGATTGCTGGTTAAGGTATTTGTGCTTTAGAAATTTTGGTAGATATCATTAAATTGTCGTTTAAAAAGGCAGTGCCAATTTAAATCCAGGAAATCTTTTCTGTTATTTAACAACCAGTTTTCTTCCTACATTTTCTAGAACCTAGGATAGGGAAGTTTTATAGTGATTGTTTTATGTTGTTGTTTCAGAACAATGAGATGGTGGAGCTACAGAGAATCCGAATGAAAGATGAAATCCGAGAATATAAATTCCGGGAGACCAGACTCCTTCAGGACTATACAGAACTGGAAGAAGAAAATATTACATTGCAGAAACTAGTGTCCACATTAAAACAGAACCAGGTGAGGCTTCAGAAAATATTCTTAAAACGTTATACCACAGATGGATCTACATTTTCTAATAAATGAGGTTCACTCTTCCCTTTCTTTTTTTCCAAAATATTTATTTTTTCTATTTTATGCATGAGTAAGAGCAGGAGAGCAGGTGCTTGCAGGGGCCACAGTCCTCAAATCCCCCTGGATCCTGAGTTAGAGGTACTTGTGAGACACCTGACACGGATGCTGGCCTTGAAACCAGGTTCTCTGGATGAGCAGTGCATGCTTTTTAACTACCGAGTCATCAAAGAACTTGTCAGATTTTCTTTATACTTCTTTAATTTTTATGCTGGAATTTCTCAATCTTCCTATGTTAGCTAAAATATATAAGAAAAATGTAAGTAGTATAGTTTGCAATGCAGTTTTATTAAGTAAGAAGAAAGTTTGTTTTAGCTCTGTGATAATTTGTTTTAGTAGTGAGTCAAATATAATAAATTATAATAAATTTAACTTAGCAACTTCTTGTTGTTGCTGGTGTACTAACTTATTTTATATAGCATCCCTAAGATCTTCCTAAAAACAACTTGTCTTCTCCCCCCTTCCCTTCCCCTCCCCTCCCTTTCCTTCCCTTCTCTTCCCTTCCCTTCCCTTTCCTTTCTTTCCCTCCTTTCTCAATTGCCCTTCCTTTACCCAATCCCTTCTTTCCATCCTCCTCTCTCTTTCCTTTACCCTCTTTCGTCCCTTTCCCCCTTCCCCCATCTCTTTTCATCTCTCCTCTCCTCCCTTTTCTTCCCTCTTGTTCTTTGTTTTCTTCCCATTTCATTCATTTCTCCTCCTTTCTGTCTCATTGTCTCTTTTATTTTAAATGCTTGATTTTTTCAGCTATAACCTTATTATAAAAGCTCCTTGTAATTTACATTGTCTTCCTGTAATGAGGCTTGGATGGTGGTTTAGCTCCATTTTGTTCCTGGGATAAAACAACCTGACCAAAAAAAAAAAAAAAAAAAAAAACTTAGGGGAGAAAGGATCTATTTTAGTTTACAGTTCCTGGGGGACATAGACCATTATAGTGGGTAATGAATAGTAGCAATCAGGAAAGACATGGCAACAGGAATAAGAAGTTAGATGGTCATATTATATTTGCCCCTGGGAAGCAGAAAGTGATCGGGTAATGGTCCAAGCTATAAGTAAGGCCTACCCTGAGTTATCAACTTCCACCAGCAAGACTCTACCTCCTAAAATTTCCATAACCTTTCCAAACACCACCACTAGGTAAGAGTCATATATTCAAACATGTGAGCCTACAGGGGCATTTTGCATTCAAACCACAGCGTTCTGCCTTTGGCCGCTCTAGGCTCATGGCCATTACTTGGTACAAAATATATTTAATCTAAATCCTACATCACCATATCTGCCATCTGGGGCTTGTGATGAAAGTTGCTGAGCCCTATTCCTCTAGCTCTGCCTCCTGCATTATATATAAAACCTCTGTATTAGGTAGGCTTCATACCATACCT